TATTTTTTTTATTTACCTAATACTTAATTTTAACTAACCTAAAGATTCTTTATTTTCTACTATTTTAGTTACTTTTATAATTAGACAACGAATAAACATGAAAAACAAGGAATAAAATACTTAACCAATCTTCTTTTTTTCTTGCTGTCGTTTGTTGAAGAGAGTTAACCCTAATTTTTTTATACTAATGATGATAATATACTAAATTTTTATTTAATTAAATAATGCACCAAAGAATATAGACTAATCACATGCAAAAAGTAGACAAGTTCCCTTACCTCTGAAAATTGTTCTGACTTTCTAACTATGCGACAAGAGCCATTACAAATTCATCCATGCTAGTCATTAACTTTCTCACTGGAACTATGGTACTTTAGTGAAATTGACATATAACCATTCAGAACATAACAGTATACAATATGCCATTTGATAGATGAAAACCTTGACTTTCTATTAGTTATAGGTAATATATAATTAAACATAAAAGAGAACTATCAATAAATTCTGAAAGAGAGGATGTGACAGGTAGGCTTGGCAGGAAGGGTCTGATTTTCTATTCGATAGCTCTGTAACCAAACAAAATTGAGGACTATAGAAATTATGGTTTGTCTGAGCAATGATGATTTTATAGAGAGTAATTTATGTTTAATTTCGTACTTTTTCAAGGGGTGGTGGATAAAATAGGGAAGATGACATGCTAAGAGAAAAATGTATCACGTTGGTCACACTAGGGGAAATTAAGAACTTAAAACTGATATACTATTAAAATATGGATTATTAGCTAAGATTTTATGCTATTCTAAGTAGTATAACATAAACAAAAAGTAGTTTAATAAAATTTTGAATGTAAGACACTAAAACCTTGTGTCATGTGCATTAAAGGAAACCCATGGCAATAGGGTTAATAAGCAGTGTAAAACATTATAACTTAATATGAAATTTTAATAGTTAAAGATAAATCAATGATTAAGTTTCTGAGAATAAAAACATTCTTATAGAAAAAAAAATCAACCTTACTGATTTGAGTGACAAATTATAACCAATAGATCAGTGATTCCCTACATGTGGGCACCCCTAGGGATATGCAGTGGTTATTCAAAGAGGTACATGAAATGAAAGAGGAAAAACAAAAGAGAGCAAAGTTAGAAGAAAGGACAAAAAAGGAAAAACAACTTCCTGATCACCATACACTGTTGTAATTATACAACAGTAGTAATGTTTTATGTATCTCAACTCTGTGAATTAAAGTTACTAGTAGCAGTAATGATAAAAACTCCAGTGAGAAAATAAAAATAAATGAATAAAATTATTTAATAATTGAAGATATGTAATTTTGTATTCATTCTCAAATATCAGAATCATGGGTAGGCAAATTGTTACTACATTTATAAGGGGTACACCAGCTTCAATAGTTTCATTACCACTGCAATAAAAGGGATGCATATAATATATAATCATCAGTTAAAACCAAACTCTGGGTTGCAAGTAACCTTGGAATGACATTTGTGAAGGTAACAAAGGACGATTATCCATAAAATTCACCAGAATAATAAAAATATACAAATGTATGTATTTATGTATGAAGAGACACAAATAGATTTATTTTTTATGCAATGAACTACCTATCAATTTTAGTATTCTTAAAGGTTTGAAATATAAATATTCAAATGCACAAGCATATATGCTGTCTAAGGCAGTAACATTTTCAAACTGCATACATTTTCATTGTAGTTAAGTTACCTACGTAACAATTCCATTTTAACTGAAATGGTAAATAAATCTCTCCACGAAAACCTTATAAAAATAGCTCATTAAGTATAGCAACTCAAGTGTTTGACCATTTATAACTTTTGATTACTGGTCTAAGTAGCATTAACTCTTTCAACATGGGCTCGGTCCCTGGGAACAACCTCAAGATCATTTTGTGCTTGTTATAGTTTTCATACTATAACTTTTAAAGTAG